ACCTCTTTAAACTCTCCTTCCATCTCTAAAGGTGCTTCACGCTTTGTTTCATGGAGCCTCATCCCCCCACTCTGCTCAGGCCTGACTGGCAATGACGACTGGGAGGCAAAGGATGGAAGGTGGTGTTAAAGAAAGGACAGCTGAGCGCGTAGCCGTGCAGTCAGAAAGGGGAAAAGTAAAAAAAAACATTTAGCAGAAGTAACTTCCAAAGTGCCAAAAGTCGAGGCCCAATGCGTCCAGATGAGAACAGATACATTCCTCTTTTGCATCGTCCTCTAACTTATTATTTTGGTATGATGTTGAAATCAAGCGACAACCGGTGTGAGAAGCAAGTCTCTCAATAACGGAGTGTAAACCAGAATTTCCCTTTTTGGGATTTATAAAGTAGTGTGTGGTTCCCGTGTTGTGCTTCCCAAAGCTGTTAAATGATAGATTTTTGTAAGCATGAGCTTCTTGTATGGGGCGGCTGTGGCTCAGTTGGTAAGGTCAGTCGTCTCTCAACTGGAAGGTTGGGGGTTTGATCCCCAGCTCCTGCAGCAACATGTCCGATGTGTCCTTGCACAAGACACTTAACCCCAGGTTTCTCCTGCTGCTTCGTCAGTGGTGTATGAATTTGTCTGAATGGATCAGCCTAAGTCAGACTAAAAATGTCTTAATCAAGCATTTTACCATAATTTGTTTATTTGGGCTGATTTGACTGCAGAGACCTGCACATGTCACACTGATGCAAGATGTTGTTACTGACACGTTGGCAGTTTGTAGATGTATGGTACTGACTCAAAGACACAATCAGTCACATTTCTAAGGTTTATGTTGACAGCATTGATTATTTTAATATCATATGTTTAAGGTAAACTTGAAATTTGATTTGCATTTGTAACTTCTTGCAGAGTTAATAGGGGGAAAACATTTAGTCGCCTCATTTATTCAGGCGGTCAAGAGCAACCAAACAGCATCTGTGATTCTGCTCCAGTATAACAGAGGGTTGAGAAAAAGAAGCAGGGGGCTCAGCGGGTTTATTTATGAAAATGAGCACGATTGCTTCTAGTTTTTCAGGCTCAAAGAGGAGGAAGTAAAAGTTTTAACGGTTAAAATCAGAGTTTATAGTTGAAATGTTTGAACAATGCTGACTAAGTGATCCAGGGTTCGTCTGTGAATAGAGATTATTGAAATGTCGGTGCTAAAGTTCAGGCTGCAGGCAAATGCTAATAAGTTTCTTTGATCCCCTCTGGTGTTCCTCCTTCAAAACAGCTAATCCACTTCTAATTCACGGCTAATTCAGGTCTCAGCGCGCTGACCAAACTCATTTATGTAGACGTCAACAATTAGTCTCCTCCCAGTGTGATAAAACACCATTTATTTTTCGCTGAAACATTGTTTGTTTACACAGGAGTTAATGAATTTATTGTCAATATACATTAAAGTCAGCTTATCAGATACATTGAGCTCCATGGGGGCTGTTGATGGGGGGCTATGCATGATATTAGGCCGTCTGTGTTGCTTCCTGTCCCATCAGGGTGGTCATTTGTAGTGTTAGTATTGTTAGCTTTAAAGGAGCAATATGTAACTCTAACACCTAGTGTTTAAAATGGGTACTGCAATCCAAATTCAATTTTGCCCCCTCCTCTTTAGAGTCGATGCTCACTCAGGTTGCCATGTGGTGGACACTGAGCACATTTCTGCTCGTGGAGCTTATTAGAAACATGCAGAGGCTTTTTAGGTCGGGTACAATCACTTCTATCTGAACCACTTCTCTTGACCGCTTCCATCGCTGCAACACCTGTTGACCTGATAACTGCTCTCATATCTGACAAACCGAGGGGCGTCCAAAACGGCCGTGTGGGGGCGTGTCTTAAAAGTGCCTACCTTCTCTGGTCCAAACAAACCAGAGCATTCAGGAGCAGAATCTAAAGTTAGAAGGAGGACATACTGGCTGCTGCATTGTTGTCAGAGAAGCCAGCACTTCAACATAGCATGTTTCCTTAATGATCAGAGAGTAAGATACCTTTATCATCTCACTCTCTACACATCTCACTGATTGATCCTTTAATTTGATTTAGTCGTCTCATATCTCATAATTACTTTTAGTTTATCGTTTACTGAAATACATCTTGTTTTCTTTTGTGACCTTTCCTTTTATCCATTTAGAACAATACAAGTATGAATTTTGATGAACATAAATAATTTATCTCCTCTTGTTTTATAGACTTTGACCTTTTTGTTGAGCAATAGAGTAAACTGGTATTATCAAGTGGAGTATTTCTTAAACAAATCAATACTGTTGAATAAGCTATAATCAATTGTTTTGACTTTGTCCTTAGATTTCTGTATTTCTGGTTTGTGACATCGTGTTTCTGTTTTGGACATTTCTATTAAGACACTTTTTGAGAGGATGTAAAGCAGTCCTGCTTAACTTGAGGCCACTTGGGTTTAAAGACCTCGGAGTGTACTACATGTTTCCCGACAGAGTTTTAAAACACGGCTAAATGCTTGGAAGTCCCAAAAAGCCTCCTGTGAAGTTGTTTCAACATTTCAAGCAGCCACAGGGGTCTCGTAACACCCACTGCTGAGCTTTCAGGGGGGCAAGAAACAATAAGGAAAAGGCAATAAATCCAAGTCCAGCCAATGATTTTACAGGCTCAATCTGACAAAGACATCAGGGTCGTTTCCATCATTCATGATTTATGTGATGGGAGCTTAAGCCATGTCTCTCAGCCGCTCGCTGTTTCCATTTCCTGGCAGCTGTCTGCACAGCGGACACTCAAAGGTTAGAGAGCCACCCTGCCACCAAAGAGAGGACACCCTCAGCGTGTCGCATCATCTGCACCGCCCCGTCTCACTCTGTTTTCCGAGGAGTTTTCTCGTTGTTAACAGGCAGACAATGGCAGCAGTCCGACGGGGGCATTCATCCGTGTGGAAAGTTCCAAAGTCGGCTCTGCAGATGGAAACCTGACCTCTGCATTCAGGTCGCTCTGTGTAGTACCAACGCCAAAAAATTGGGACTCGGATCATGTCTTTGTGTTTGTTGTTCCAGCTTCATCTTCACTCACACTGAGAGGGAAAATCTCACACGCCCAGATCTCTTTTCAGCTCTCTCATCCTCCCAAATCATGAGAGAAATTATGAGAGTCCTGGAGTCAACTCGAGCAACAATCTGACTCGAGCCAGAGCGCCATGTAAACAATATTTTTGATATTTTAATGATCGATAGTGTTGAAAGTACTAAAACTCTTTAAAAACATACAGCCAAACTCCTGCACACTGTCTAAATTGCACATTGATTATGGCAACATTTTGGTTCAGAACATTGCCAATGTTCTTTTGCCATTCAGACAGCGTGCAGTTTGAAAAATTTCCCTTCAATTTGTGATAATTAAAAACAAGAAAGTAGACGGGGTTGGGTGCCAAGGACTTTTATTTTTGTTTCCATGTTATTATTATTTGAAAGATAGTTTTTGGGCAATTTGTGCCTTTACTGGATTGGACGGCTGAAGAGAGACAGGAACAACAGGGAGGGGAGAGTGGGATGACATGCAGCAAAGTGCCGAGGTCGGTCCTGAACCCACAGCCGCTGCGACAAGAACCTCAACCTCCGAACATTGGGCGCACAGGTAAAACCACCAACCACCAGGCAAGCCGCGCTCCAAAGGTCAAGATCATTTAACAGTGACTGTGACCACAGAACATGCAGTTTAGTCTATTAAAAAAAGGACATCAATTTGTTATATTTATCAAAAAACATATTTTTATTGTCCTAAATGGATGTGAATAAAAAGAACCCCCCCACAGGACGTTTTAGACACCCCTTGGTTTGCCAGGTAGACAGCAAATAAACAAGAGAACTGGTTCAGATAGATCTGATTCTACGACACAACCGCCAGGCCAACCAGCGCCCTGATGTTTGATTTTTATTATAGTATCGAATCAAAATTTCAAAATCCTTGTATGATGACGACCCTACCAGAGCGATATATCAAAGTTTGTGTTCATACCCACAAATCATCTTAATAATATCTGACGTCTGACATCAAAGTACCACATATATGTCACGGTCCCATTCTGAACCTTATAAATCTTTGTTTTGTTGAAGTTCAGTAAAATGTACCCCCCCCCCCCTTCTCCCCTCACGTCCTCTTTGGTGTTCATCCTGGAGCTCTCATTATTAATGGAGAACACAGCTTAAACACTCAGCAGTTTACTCGTGATTGGTCGGCCCCTCTGGAGTGTTTTGCGCCCGGCGTTGTGGGAGCGGTATATCATTCCCTCGTTCTCGTGCGGAGACAGATGGACGCTCACTCAGAGCACGCTCACAATTCTGTGTTTTTGTTTTGAACTCTCACAGGAATAAGTGGAGGTATGCAGCGATGCCAAAAACCTGCCAGCTACGACAATAACATCTGCGCCGTGGATTACATCCCGCCTTCAGTCATATGTCTGCAGCAGAGCAAATCTGATTGGCTGTGAAGTTTGTAGAAAAAGCACAAAACCCAAAACTAGTGACAATGCGAGCTGCAGGACGTGTTTGGAGTTTTTTGGGAGCATCTCCTGTTAATTTATCTACAACTCATTTTTAACTAATGGCCTTTGCCTTTTTAACTTTGAATACATCACACTCTCTGAAGGTTCTTAACTACTTTAATATCAGCATAACAACTGGCGATGCACCCATCCAATTTTTTCAGTTCCGATCCGATTCCGATCCACATGTACTGATTCTGATATTTTTATTATCATAAATAATAATGTTGTTATTGTTGTTGGTATTATGTGTGAGGCTAAACAAAGCTGCAGTAAACCTGGCATCGCATTGCACTGGCTGCACGTACAAACAGGAAGTAGCAACAACTGTCAGGTTTTCAAAATAAATCTTTTCAGAGTTGTACTTTGGATAATACAAAAGGAGCTGTTCCTTCTCGTCTGAACGTCGTCATGGAGACCATTTGTGGGCACTCACAGTTCAGTCTGAATGTCTTCAGAGTGTAAACATGTCATTCCAGCTGTGATCATCCACAGATTGTTTTTTTTTTGTTTTTTTTCAAACAGCTTTATTTCAGATGAATTAATCTTCAGTTCTATTGGGCTGTTCAAATATCCAAACACAGATCAACACTTCTCATGACAGCCGTCTACAATTCAATGCAAAAAAAAGTAAAAAAAGAAAAAGAAAAGATCAAAACATAAAAACCACGTAAGCCACATCGATTCATGTGTCATTAAATATATTCATTTGTGATAAACATAATATATTAGTATTACAGGACATTACACAACCTTTGTGTTGCTATGGACACCGCTGAACAACATTTACAAGCTGATGGAGGAACAGAGAATTAATCAGACGGGATCTGTCTGAGGGCAGGAGTACCAAAAACCTGTGTGTGTGTGTGTGTGTGTGTGTGTGTGTGTGTGTGTGTGTGTGTGTGTGTGTGTGTGTGTGTGTGTGTGTGTGTGTGTGTGTGTGTGTGTGTAGAGAAATACAGTGTGATGCACCGAGTACTGAGGTGTCCCTCGTAGTTAAGTGTGTTTGTATGACTGAGTGTAAGTCAGAATCAGTCTCTCTCTCTCTCTCTCTCTCTCTCTCTCTCTCTCTCTCTCTCTCTCTCTCTCTCTCTCTCTGTCTCTCTCTCTCTCTCTCTCTCTCTCTGACATTTATTTGTTTTTCCGTTCATTAAGCCTCTAGTGTTTAAAAACTCTGGTTTAGTTCACATGGAAAAAGCTCTAGTTAATGTTTTTTTAAACACAAAATAAAAAGTAATAATACTATACAGCTATATAACATGTCGACAGTCGGTCTGTTCGTCGGGCGCCAAGTCTTTATCGTGGCCCTCAAAAACGTTTTGACTCAGCGTGCCGAAAGCACTGTACAATAAACGTGTGATATTCTATCACTCCACAGGTTATTTTCCCACAACACTGAACACTGTATACAAAGTAAAAGTGTACATAATTCACAATCATGGTTAGCTATCAGTCAGCTACAGTAAGTAGTGAGCATGCATCAGTTCAGTGGTATGAGGACTGTTGATAGGTCCATGTTTTCTGTTTTCTTCTTCACTCTTTTACTTTGAAATCCAACTTAAAAGGTTTTCTTTATTCAAAAATAAAATCCCAAGTCGTAGCTGTAAAAGAAAAAAAACATCATTGAGGCAGAAATGACTCAACGTTGAGAGTTTTTTTTTGCATCATGTGGCGGCGATGACGGGATCTTCTTTGTTTTTGGACGCCTCTCTAAAACATATCTCATATGTTCTTAAAGTTCTAACTAGTGAAGATAAGTGCATGGTTGACTTGTCTACTCTACTCTCATCATCTAAGGAAAAATAATGTCTATGTATGCACGTATGGTTACTTTACATTGCAGAGGTCACAACCACAACATACCGTTGATACACCGTTAAGCGCCGAGCAAAGAACATGAAATGTGATCGCTACACAGAATGAGCTGACGATCATTATGGCAGTTTTCTTTTTCTCACTGAGGTAACACTTGGATATGAGCCGGGAGCTCAGGGACAAAAATTGCACCCATTATGTTTATGAATATTTTCTCAGCTCTGCTCTCGAGCTTAAATATGTTTGGAGCCTCTAAAGGGCACATGAGCAGAGAAGCATGAACATTTCTGATTCTGGTGCGCACCATTAACTCTTTCATGCTCAAGGGATAGTTTCTGGTGAGCACCAAAGTCTAGAAAGTGAATCCAAAACACGCTCACCCTCAGTAAAGCGGGGTACACACCGCAAGATAATCGGTCATATCACTGTCTTCCTGGTTGCAAATCATATAAGCTAGGAAACCTGACAAAACAGAATCACTGAAAAGACACAAAGAAGTGAAGAAGTTCCTTTTTCAGAGAACATGAGTTATTCATTTCTGTCAGGACCTAAACACATTTTCAACAAGAAATCTTAAAAAGTGAATGTGGAGGAAATGACCAACCCTGACTTTCAGCAAAGTCACAGTGAAAAGGAAAACATTAACTTTAACTTTAGGCTGAACCTTCAACAGAACTCATGTTGAACAGACGTCTGCTGAGTAAAGGAGAAGAAGCTCAAAAGTCGCCTCAGAATTAAATATGCACTGACGTCCGTTCAGGTTTTCACTGATCCAGTGGGAAGCAGGAACCTTTATGTTTCTATGATTTGCAACCTCAAACACGGCAATACAACAAAATAACCTCGATCGAGCCTCCCGTCTGGAGCACTACGGGACAGAAAAGTGTCCGCCGTTTGAATATGATGAACGCCATGAAGTGCCAACACATTGGTAACGTTTTTCTCTTAAAATACAAAAAGGGTCAAAAGTAGGTGCAATGCTCCTTAAATCAACTAAACATGGGACTGTAAAAAAAAAATCAAAAGGCATCATGGGTAACAGAGTCAGGATATGACATATCTGTGACATTAGGTGCAAACTCTGCAATTAAACAACAAAACAAACCTTGAAACGACAAAACAACCGTGGAATGAGCTCCTTCACAAAAGTTCCTAAAAAAAAAAAGACTAAACTCTTCGCTCCGTCTCAGAGCAGCAGCACTCAGTCCTTCCCTTTCTCTCCGAATATTCACCTGTGTCTTTCTATGTCATACTCTCCAGTTTATTTTTTTTTCATTCATCCTCTCCTCCTTCGTGCATTCATCCCGGCGGAGACATTTTTTTTTGCCTCCATCGCCCTCCCTCCTCTGAAGCCACTTTTAGCACTTCCCCCTCTTGTCACGCTGTTGGAACTTCCTCAGCCGGCGACCCCACAGGTCCTTCCAAGGGATGAGCAGGCTCCCCTTGTCTGCCACCACGCCGCTCTGTCCGGGGGAGTCATCGTCCGTGCCGAGGAGGAGGTACTTCCTCCCGGGTTTGATCTTCGGGCATTTGCACGCCACGTCTTTGGCACGCACCCACAGCAGCTGGTCGCCGCGGCGTATGCGGTTGTCACCTTGTTTGTAGACGGAAATGATGTTGACGGTGAACTTCCACCACTCGCCCGACTTGTCGCCTTTTAGAACGTGAACTTGGACAGCTGGTGGAGGAGAAGAGAAAAGCCAGGATTAGATCAACTTCATGAAACAAGTATTAATATCCTGACCTGACAGTGGACACAGAAATGGAATTTACATTACTAAAGAAAACAGCCATGTAAAAATGTGTTTGAGGGGCGCTGGTGGTGCAGTGGTTAGTGCGCACGCCCCATGTATGGAGGCTATGGCCTTCCAAGTAGGCGGCCCAGGTTCGAATCCAGCCTGTGGTTCCTTTCCCCTATGTCGTTCCCCACTCTCTCTCCCCCTGATTTCCGACTCTATCCACTGTCCTACTTTTCCATTAGAGGCACAAAAAGCCCAAAAAATAAATCTTAAGAAAAAAGGCAACAAGAATGTGTTTGAATTTAAACATTTGGAACCGAAAAGAAGCTGAATATTTGTATTTCCATCCAATGAAAAATAGCCAAATAAGAATTTTATAGCAAAATGTCACATCTGCTAACAATATAACTTCTGAAACAGTCGGTCTAAAAGGTGCTCTCTGACCATGAGAACATTGACTACCTGAGGCTAAATCACGCCGAACCTGGTAACTATTGAAACACCACTTGAAACAGAGATTTTCATACCAGAGAATGACTAAAGCGCTCTTTGCAGATGGTCCCCTACACAGATCCTCTGTCAGACCAAGCATCTATTACTTCATCACAACGAGCACAACAAGAAGCTGACAGCCCGACAGCAAAGGAGCTAATCTGTGCTTAAAGTGAAGTACTTTACCCGCTGGGTTTAGTTAGGAATGTGCTATTAATGTTTGAGTGTGTGTGAGGGGGGGTTCATTGAGAGTTGGAAGAAGTAATGGAATGTGGAGAACATCGGATTAGATGATGGAAAACAAGAGCTAATATTTCCTTGTATCAAAGGTACCATTGATATCATAAAACAGGTTCGTAGGGAAGGAATAAATCCATCAAAAACTGCAAGCAATCATCTGAACACTGTCTAAATTGGATTAATACTTAAGCAACATAAATGCAATTTAGACGGTTTGCAGGTATTTGCTTGCAATTTTTGACAACTGAAAACAATGAATTACACAATATTTGGTGTCCAGGAATTCTATTTTTGTTGCTGTGGTATCAAAACAGGCATTAATATTGATTTTGACTCGTATCATGTCAAAGTTAAAAATTCTGGAATCATGACATACCTGAAAACAAATCTCTATCAGCTTTTTTTTCTTTCTAAAATGATTTAAGGCTTTATCAATTAGTATCAAAAATTTTTGTTTTTTGTTGGACACAAGATAAAACATCAGGGGGCAAAACAAGGCATGTAGATATTAAAAAGAAGAGGCCCAAGAATGGATCCTTGGGGAACACCACATAATAATTTTACATTTTTTCTGTCAACAAGTGAGTTAAGTGTTGACATTGGACCGAAAATATTCAATCTGACTTGGATCCTTTCTTTCTTATAGGGGGTGGGCTTTGTAAAAATAAAATCCATTATATTCCTCCTCCATTTAAACAGCTAGGTAGGTTGGCCTTGCTCTTCCTTTCTGGCAGCATATGATCACTTTAGGTGATCTTCAATCATCTATTCCTGCCAATAAAGAAGAGAACCAGAGGAGTGGGCTGTTAGAGGATGTGTGTCAATGCATGGTGAGCAAATTGAACACAATTTCAGAAGAAAGACGGTTTGTTGGGTTGAGTAGAGCGAGCTCTCACAGCCCTGCCATTCATCTCAGCCCTCTCCTTCATCCAGACACAAAAAGGGTGTGTGAGGAGGGGGGGGGAGGGGGCACTATTTGTCTTCCCAGCCACAGAAAAAAGTTCCAGGAGAATCGGGATGTGTTTCCGACCTCATGAGCTATCCGGGTTTTTTGCTCCCAGAGCCCCGTCCAACTCCACAGCGTGAGAATCCGGCGGAGATATCGCACTCCTCTCCATACCGTGGAGACTTGGTCACAGCGTCCAGCCCTTTCATTCTCAAGTGTGTTCTCAGTCTGTGCAGTGTATTTAAACACACACAGATCCACACATCTTCTGCCACTTAGTGTAAGCTAAATAGACAACAGAGAGAGACTGGGAGCACAGGGTCAAACCATCGATTACAAAACAGTGTGAGCTGACACTGTTTGGGGAGACAGACAGTATGAGATGATCCTGCTCTCGCACAAAGACTGCCAACCGAGCCTCCCTCACAGCCAAACCTCCAGCTGGGTTTATCTTCTTTGGGCCGTGTGCTGAGGCTTGACACGGCATGCCACCAACAAGCAAAGGCTAATGAAATTAGAGCTTGGTTAATTACCGCATAGAGGCCCCTGTCCCCGCTGGTTATCAGCTGAGTGAATGATCAGGGACCTGTTACCCTCGGGTGAGCACAGAGGGGGTGTTCAGGGAGGCCGTGGGGGACCCTGCCTTTGAGCACTATCCCGGAGCGTCGGTAAACACGCGGCCCTTTGATTCATTGTCCTCCCGGGTGCAAAGAGAGGGAGGGTGCGTGTGTGCAGAGGAGGGTGTCAGGCGAGAATATAATCCCTTTGTGTCCGCCGTCTCCGTAGCGACGGCAGTGATGAAAAACAAAAATTGAATAAACAAAACATATTTCTTTCTCTCCGGGGGTGGCAATCCGTCACCGTCTGACTAATTTAGCACCTGTTTGTGCGCAGAGGAATGCTTGGTTGTCTTCAGAGCGCACAACTGTGTTTAAACAGAGGGCCCCTTCCCGTGACCCCCGGGGGCCTGCAGCAGCACTCACACATGGGGGGGTTGTGGCCCCTGAAGAACAGAGAAGAAGCCCCTCAAAAGCAAGCGACAGGCCTGAGAAATGAATTAAAGTGAGGCAGAGGGAATGCATGCTACTCGGTGATGCCTGCCATGCAGAGGTTCATCTGCTTCCAGACTTTTTTTATAGGAACTTCAGAGGAAAGCGAAAGGAACCGCTCGCTCTGCTTCGACCAGCCTGACTGATTTATAGACGCGGGGCCGCCTCAGCTGTGATGATTAAGATCTAAATCAGGGGGAAATATGAATAACTGCCGCTTTTGGCTGCCGAGCAAAACACAACAAATGGCCTGAATTACGGTCTGCTCAGCTGTGAGCGGGAATGAGAATTATTTGGCCAGCTTTCAGTTGGATGCCATTTAGAGAACAGAAAGACAGAGTTTCACCAATGTGGTGGTTTTGAATGGGAAACCAGTAAGTCGTCTTTGAAAGAAATCAACATCATTATAGAGAAGTATTATAACCGAACCGAGAACGATGAACTTTAAAGACAACTGGTGGATAAATCCCTCCATCTTGCCTGAGTTCACAGTCGTGTTTTTGAAGAGGTTTTAAAGAAGTTCTTAATTTTGAGGCATTTTTTTGTTAATGGAATTGCTGGAGGAAATGAATATTGCAAAAACATTTAGCAGCTGGGTCGAGTGTTCTTAGTAACTTTACCAAAACTTCTCTGTATAACATAAGTTCTAACAAAAGGTGTTTTTGGACCGCAGGAACTTCTTCATGGAACCCTCCTCCTTTTTTATTCATTCTGCACCACGGGAACTGTTCACAATTTTAGTTCCTAGAACCCCGTTTAGAGGAACCTTTTTAGCTCCTGCTTGAGAGTAAGTACCATGGCAGTGGGAATGCAGACAGAATAAAAGTCCCCATGATGTCTCGGGGAACCCCACAGTGGCTAGTTCCTCTTAAAGACCCCAGAACTGTTTGGTCCGAAAACACCTCAAATGTACTTTATTTGTAGAAGAAGTGCACCATGTACAATGTCTGTCCTTTTCACCCCTTACATTTCCAGACGAACTTGTTACCTTAGCTTAAATGCATCATACATTAATTAAAAGAGAGAAAGAAAACACCTGTACAAATCTGGTCCAATCAGCTGAATCAGCAAATAAAATCAGCAATTAGCCTAGACGGAGAGTTGGCTGGCAGTCATTTGTCTAGAAAAAGTCCAGTTTTCTCCGTTCAGACATCAGAAAATTCCATTCTGGAGAATAAGACCTGTGTTTTCTAAAGGTAGGACTTGTCAGCTTGGTGTGAATGAACAGAAAGATGTGTTTTCTGATTGCTCTGTATTAGCAGACGATGCCTCAGGCTGTGTAAGTAAGCCATCACAGCACCAGATGAATTGAGACGTTTGACCTTTTGACTTCTGGTGACGTCTGGCGGCAGACGCTCCTGAATATCAGACTCACTCACCGTAATCTTTTTTACAGTATTTCTTCATGGTGATCTTCATCTTTCCCTTGGAGGCTTTGCAGTGAGATTCACAATCTGAAGACATAAAAGGGGAGAGGGAGAGAGAACTAAATTAGATAACACATTTCATCCTGTCATACTGAAAACCCTTTTATAAAAATGGTGTGCAGCATCATCAGCTGGATGGACTTAAATGTGGTCTCTTGCATCACGTTATTTGTGCTCCAACGGGGTTTTAAAGATGCGTCCAAAGTGTCACACTGAGAAAAATTACAGCTAACACAGATCCTCCTGTGTTTGTCAGCACACTCCTACTATCCTCCTCCCAGTGTTTCCACTCCGGCTCGCTCCCTCGTCACTGTCTCGGCATGCATTGTGTGCATTCTGAGGGCTGCGAGGTCACTCATGCACAAAAGAAGGTCACAAGGGGGAATTAACCAGCGACCTGCCTGAAATTAACGGGGAGCCTCGTGAGGCGAGAAAGTGAAAACCAAACGCTAGCTGAGGCTATGTTCCACGGCCTCTGGAGAAACAGGCTCAGGCTTTTTGATTAATGCTTCAGCGGTGTCACTTTTACACCACCGTGCAAGCACCTGGGGTTGAGCGCCAGAATGCTTTATCGATGGCCGCCGCGCTGACACAGTGCCAGGTACGTTTAGTAATGAGCGGGCTTGGTGGTGCGACCGGAGGGCAGACTGAAAAATTGAAATCATTTGTTCCCTCCACTTTCCTCTGACTGACACAAATTGGAACCAGATCATCTCTGAGTGTCGCCCCCCCTCCACCTCTCCAGAGCAATAAGCCTTGGGCTTTTTTTTTTTTTTTTTTTCTGGGGGGTGGGAAAGCCGGGCAGTGTGAAGAGAAAGGAGGGGGCAGTGGAGAGAGAGGGGAGACCTTTCAGCTTGCCTGAATATGGACAAACTTCATTATTTCTTCCAGCCCTCTGTCCAGTCTTCCCCTTTCTTCTCCATTATACTCCGTGTGAATGAGGTTGCCCGGGTAATGATTGAGGAAGAAAAAAACGCCCCTCTCTTCCCTCTTAAAAAAAAAAAAAAAGTGGTTTGGGACGTGGGATGGGGATTGAATTCATGTATGTAGAGAAAGCATTTCTGCTGGAATGCTGGGCTGCTTTTCCGCGGCGGCGGGAGAAATAAGAAAAGAGGAAATCCCAAAGTAAATGAATTTGACGAGTCCATATCAAGCACGCCTGATTTCCATGTAAATGAAGTGCAGAGGGGGGGGCTCTTTATCTCCTGCTGTCCCCTGGGGGCCTGTATCATACATCCTTTGATAGCTGACGTGTCCCATTAGCCCCTTAGCGCGATCGCCGCAGTGGGCCATTACACCCTCAGCTCTCATTAAGGTCCAATCCCCCGCTGCGAGGACAAACGCCCCCTTTGTTGCGACTCTGCGGCAGTGCCACGTTCGTCCTGCGGGGTCCCGGGGGGGAACACACTGCTCCTAATTTGGAGGGTGGTGACTGTGTGGAGTTTCTGACAGGAATCCAAACTCCACACAGCCTCGGCAGGCACTATAGGAGGAAGTGGGACTCACAACAAAGCGGGATGAAGTCAGTGGCGCCACCTTCTACAGACACTGATCGATGAAGAGGAGTGAGTCAGCCTATCCAAACAGTACCAGAACCTTTTGATACGCTGTCATTTAAATAATCCAGGAAACAGTAGAGAGCACACAGGTTTAGAGTCCTGGTCAAATGAAGCTCAGCATAGGTTCAAACAGGAACCTGAAACAGACACTCTCATATTTTAAAGATTCATTCCTAAAGGTAGAAACCCCTCGACGGTTAATGGAGGACTTGAAACTAGGGCCTGATGGATTTAGGATTTTTGGAGCCGATACTGAAGAGAGAAAAAATCTGACAGCAATATATCGGTCGATATCTTTCTTACATCTATGTTAAATCTGTAGAGTTAGATATAGATATATGTATTTATTGCAATGATCCTTTAAAATGAAAAAGATCTATTACAAAGACAAGATGGCCACTCAACTGGAAAGTAACTGAGCATGTATGTTTTGTTGCTACAGTATCTATTTGTCTTTTTTTGTCTCTCTCCAAAAATCGAATTATCTATCCATCCATCCAACAAACCTTCTATGTTGTAATTTAGCAATAAATAAATAACAACTGGACGATTAATGGAGGGCTTGAAACTACTGCCTGATGAATTTTTGGAGCTAATACAGGATTTAGTTTCCTTTTAAAATGCAAAAAGATCTATTACGATACAAGATGGCCACTCAACTGGAAAGTAACTGAGCATGTACGTGCATCACCATGTTTCCTCGCTATCTATTTGTCTTTCTTTCTCTCTCTCTCTCTCTCTCTCTCTCTCTCTCTCTCTCCCACTCTCTGGACCCGTCCAGTCGTGGCAGGTGACTGTCCAACAACGAGTCTGCTTCTGTTCTCTAAAGCAAAGCGCTGTGCCGGGAGGAAACCTGTTGCAACAGCTCCCATCGCTTGTGTTTTAAGTTGTCACTTTATTACAGTCGTTGATTACGTTTTCAAGTCTTCTTTGTTTATTGAAATTTTTCAGTGTCAGGATACATTTACAGTATTATTTTCTTTCATGGATAAGTCACTGCTTTAATACGGCAATTTTCTAACAATAATCCATCCAACAAACCTTCTTATGTTGTAATTTAGCAACAAATAAATAACAGTTAGCTACCAAATTATTATTATTATGATCGATTGAAGGACTCGGTGGTGGGATCTTATCAGCAAAGCGTTTACACATTCCTCATCCTTATCATGGAAAATAAATAATGTTCAACCATTGGCTCCTTCTAAACTAATGTATGAACAGTCGTCTCCACAGCCAGCCGACTGGCAGAGGCAGCAACCATCACCATGAAACCTGCATGTAAATATTTTTGTTGCACATGGTGTAATGTCAGCGGTCCAGCACGGACACCCTTCTCCGAGCACATGAACAATAGAGGCTCGCTGTCGGCCCAGCAGGCCTTGATTGAAATACAAACTGGTGCAAATGAAGCATGTAATCAGATTAGGGCTGAAACCTCGGGGAGGCTGCTTGGCAGGCTGGGAATACTGACAACCAGGCCACAGGGAGCAGTGGAGAAAGATCTGGAGTTTCCATCAGCTGCAGTCAGACCTCACTGACTGCTGTTTGATCCAGAGCTGAAACTGTGAGCGCATGGAAACACATGCATGTGCTAACTATGCACATAAAACTGTTTTTTTTAAAGGAGCAGTTATTAAAGTGTGGTCCTCCAAACTCCAAACATCTTTAGCACAATCACATTAGAAAATACATTAGTACAGCAGTGAAGTAAAACCTGACTTATTAAGAGAACTTTGTTCAGTTTTAATCGTTTTATAATCGGGCTAAACGGTTTGATTTACTCACCTGACGGCTCCTCGTAGCTGCTGTAAGTAGCTGTCGGAGATGCAACCGGGATCTCTGTGTGAAAGAGAGAATAGAGAATCAAACTGATATCACATAGAACATATGAAGCTAGTGTGTATAGATTACAAATACACTCATCAGCACCTGAAAATACAATAAACCGTGTTCAAATCTGGAGGTAAACTGAGACATGTGGTGAAGAAAACGTTAGCCTTGTCAAGCGGTTAGCTTCCTTAAGACATACGCCTACATGTGCTTGGCAGCGCGTACACACATCTCCTCTTCTGTTTGCAGTTTTAGAAGAACAGTGGGTAAACTACTGTGGATTCTGAGAGTCAGACAGCCCACCACCAACCTTTTAGATTATTGTTGATTCATTTTTTTGGTCATATTTTTGCTGGTTTCAGGCTAGAGTTAGCCGCCGCTAACAGTAGCTAATGGGTTAAATGCGCTCAAGATTTTCACTGTGCTTTGTCTTTTAGTTGCCCCTTTTCAAAAAGCAAAGTATGATATCCTACATTTATATGTCTTAAAACCTGGATCATAGCAACATCTCAGCGTCCCGTGTGAAGACGCTGAATGAATTGACCTGCGAGTAAAAGCCAAAGCAGACACCCAGATGTGTATCAGGACTGTGAGTTTCCTTTGAATGATTGTGGTACGTTGTAGGTCGAACAAGCCAAAGCCAAGCGTCTTGTTAAATTCAGAACTGGCAGGACGTTACATCTCACAAAAATTTTAAATCACACTATTAAAAACAAAAAACACCTTTGATTTAAAAAAAATCCCAATATATTCTTCCTTTTAAAAACCCAATTTCCTCCGACTTTTTCACCGCATTTGTTACCTTCCCACAAAACTGAAGAAATCCTTTTCCAGCAGGTCCACAGGTTTTTATTATCACTGGAGACTAGGAGGGATGTGTCCAGAATCTACAAACACACCTCGTCCAGTTTCCACACACGACTTTTATCAGAACCTCCGCACCGTGCTGGATATTTGTTTGTGTGCACATGTCCTCCCAGACATTATTCTTATCTTATCTTTTGATGCCAGCCAGCTAACTCCACGCTCCTAGCTGAAGCAGCTCGTAGCTAACACATCTCTGTTTGTGTGAGATGTTGGCATTTATTACCAAGAGCCTGGGATCTGCACGCTACAGATACAGCCAATGAATATATCAGCCATCATTCCTCTGGAACGGTTCTGTGGATTTATTGTAAAACAAACTGTGAGCGGTGTTAAAGGCACACAGGGCCGTGTCAGACAAGCTCTAATGATCTGTTTACTCTGGCTTTGGTTTAAACTCTGCAGTATCAATACATGCTATCTTTTAAACAACATTAGGAGACGAGTGTGAGCCTTGAAGGCAAGTTTTAAACTCTGATCCAAATGAGAATTTGAAATGGTAAAGGTTGTTCTTACTGATGCAGGGGGCGATGGGAGAGCGGCTCTGCTGGTAGCCTTTGGCACAGCGGTTGCAGGTGATTCCTGTCACTCCGTCCTTGCAGGGACATTGGCCCGTCGTCTGGTTACACGTCTTTCCTGCTGCTCCGACTGGATGGCAATCGCATGCTGCAGAGGGGAAGGAAGTACATAGAAAAATGTTACAAGAACATCAAGATAGATTGGCCCGAGCAGAGGTGTATCCAGATTTTTTTTGTTTTACTGGGGGGGCTCGAACTGGGACACCGACTCATAAGCAGAGTGACACAAAGTTTGTTGAAACGCTCCTGCAGCCAAGTAACAAAATGTCTAATTTAAAAAGTAAAAAACATTTTTTTAAATAAACATATTACAAAACAAATATGGTCTTTCCACTGACTGCAGTTTGTCCTCTGCTGACTCTGCACACATTCCATACAATGAAAAGTAATCTCAGCACTTTAACCCAGCGAGCGGTGTTTTCCTTCCAGACCGTCACAGAAGGAGAACTGGGCCTTTAACCAGCATGAAACCTCATTCCAATTACACGGCGTCCCTCCACCCATAACGAGCACTCTTCGTTAGGCCTCCTCTGGAAGGCGTGCACAACGCTCACTAACTTATAAATTACTAACTTATAACTAGCCAATCTGTGTTTTTCTTTTCTCTGTTCATTGGATGATTGCTGCACTGTTGTTTTATTTTTCATGCTTTTTTAATAAGATTTTATTGTTGTGTATTTGACTGTTGGGATTTTTCTTTTTTCTGTAAAGCACTTTGTGACATTGGTTTTGATAAGTGCTTTATAAATAAACTTTATTATTATTATTATTATTATAATACTTCAATCTCTCCGCACAGTATCAGTCTATAACATAAGATGTGTGTGCGCCTCCTCGAGAGTTTTACTTTTTGGCAAAGAGTTCCTGCAAATAACTGCCCGAATAATGTTTCCCATTAATGGACGAGTGGAGCGCACTTCAAAGTCTGTTTAAGCTGTTTGGGAAGATTGCAAGTTAAATGTGAGAAACTTGCTGTGTGTGTGTGTGTGTGTGTGTGTGTGTGTGTGTGTGTGTGTGTGTGTGTGTGTGTGTGTGTGTGTGTGTGTGTGTGTGTGTGTGTGCGCACTCTGCCAAACGTTTACCATAAAGCTGGTGTTTGAAGTGCTCGCCGAGCCTCCCCATTAGCCCTGCATGTGTTATACGCACCAGCAGAGTCATTTGGATGTTTTGCTTGAAGTGGTGCAGCAGAGGTTGAAGTTGATTTTTAGTTTTAAATTTATGGAGCTCGAGGAACATAACAAGATGCTTATTAAATCCTTTATTTTATAAAATAAGCTCTACCTCCTTTGTTTTTCTTCCACCAGCTTTTTGTATCATGAAAGATTCTTCCAAGGGTTCAAAAAAGGAAATCAAGCGGTGAAAGTTTTTTAGGGATCGTCATCGTTTCCTCAGAGAACTCAAAAAAACAAGTTTTCAGACTAAATGGAAACCATCAACACAATGAAATGATCATCACATCAACATTCACAGATCATTAAGAAAACAAACACAACTCGTCCATTTCTCGTCACATTTTTCAAGCAAGCAACAACAAATGTTTGAACGGGAAAAATGTGTTTGGCTCGACGGAGAGTGGAAGTGCAAAAAGTTCCTCTTGACAATCAGACACAACACTTCACAGGATTGTAAAACATTAAGCGCATGTTTCTAATTAAATATGATCAGTGCAATGTGCTTTGAGTGAATCAGAGCTGACAGCTTTGGCAGTCGACGCCTGATTCATGGAGCGATCAGCTGCAGGATTTGTGGATTTGCTTTACAGTTTGGGCTTCAGTTTCTTGCCTTTACTCTACATCATGTGGACTGCAGGAGCCAGGGCTTCAACCACCAACGAGGCCCACTGATCCACAGCCACCCCAAAACCCTCCTACGAACCCTGAACCAGCCTGACTTAATAACATGTCAGTGAAATCACAACATTTAATTCTGTCAAGGAAAATGAAAACACCAATTTTCTAATTTTGTTGAAAAGTTTTTCCTGACAATTTGATTTAAAGTAGAGTAATGTTGAGTACTGTGTCACTCCGAGGCTTCCAGTGTTAAGCAACAGCCTTAGTGCCTCTGCAAGGGGGGGGGTCTACAACCTGGACACATTAATTAATTTGCACCATCAGTGGGGGGTCCTGGAGAGCTGAATGGTCACTGAGGGGTACTCGGAGCTCGGTGCACTGAAGCATGTACCTGCTTCTTCTCCATGGACCCGCTGTGCCTGGTTAAAGGCTCAGACTGCCAAAACATTTGAGGGGACGGGGAAAGAAAACAAACTTTAGGGTGGTGGTGGGGGGTGGGCTGCGGTTCTCCAAGAGCCGTGTTTACACTGCGCTCGATGAGGGGTGAAGTTGTTAATCTGGGAAATAAAGCATGAGGCATTCAACACTGCCACTGCAGATGTAGAGACATTTATTTTACTTAACCTCAAACTTTTATTAGCTAATTGTTGAGAGGACATTTAGCTGAGATTAGAAGTGGTGGTGTTCAGGGGGGGGGGGGCTTAGGGAACATGGAATGAAAGCAGACTTCCTCCTGGCTGTGTTGGCACAGCGCTCTACTTCCTGTCCAACAAGAGCAGGGAGGGATGCTTGGTTGATTTGAGCAATAAATACAGAGGTTTCTAACTGATGTCACAGCAAATCGTTTCAAGGAAATTGTGGTATCGGGACGACTCTGTTTTAGGCTAAGATTTTGTTTTTAAGTCAGTCGTTCATGATGTTTTTAACAGATGATGTCGCCCGATGCTGAACAAAAAGAGTTGGTAAATTAAAGCTTGATCCAAAAGCGACAGGACATGAAGAAGCTTCACCTCTCCTCTGAAAGGCTTCTTCAGGTCTAAACTAACTGAAGGAACTCGGCCTGTTGATTTATTATTACTTATTTGTTTTTATCTGTTTGAATTGATATCAGGGAGGGAAACATGTCATGAGGGCCTCTCTACAGACTTTATCCCCTGAAACACCATCCATCTCCTGATCATGTTTTTACTGTTGTCGGGAATGTAAAGACAGGTACATATTCCAGGTATTTTTTACATGTTCAGGATACTTCACTGTTGAGTTAAAGTGACTGAGTGACTGAAGTTTGTTTGCTCAGGGTCTCGGAGTCTCTCTCTCCTCCCTGAGGTGTTGCGAGACAGAAGGAGCTCAGCTTTTGTCTCTCTGCACATTAATCCTCTCAAACCTGACATATGTGCCCACACCTGTGTGTCAGTGTTGGTGTGTGCCTGTGCATGACTATCCAGTTGTTTCTTTTGCTCTGATCAGTGGATCAGCTCACACCTCTGTTCTGTTTGTCTGTGCAGGGATCCACAGAGAACCCAAACAGCTCGGGAGCTTCACGGGTCAACTTAAAGACACAGGGACAGGTGGGCAAAACTTTCTGAAGAATTCATTTTTACCTGATGTGTGCTGGCTTCTCTGACAACAATGCAGCAGCCAGTATGTCCTCCTTCTAACTTTAGATTCTGCTCCTGAATGCTCTGGATTTGTTTGGACCAGAGAAGGTAGGAGCTTTTAAGACACCCCCCACACGGCCGTTTTGGACGCCCCTCGGTTTGTCAGATATGAGAGCAGTTATCAGGTCAACAGGTGTTGCAGTGATGGAAGCGGTCAAGAGAAGTGGTTCAGATAGAAGTGATTGTACCCGACCTAAAAAGCCTCTGCATGTTTCTAATAAGCTCCACGAGCAGAAACGTGCTCAAACTAGGATCAATATTGGAGATGCTTTTGAAAAGGTAAGCGGTTTTAAGGTACCCCCCACACGGCCGTTTTGGACGCCCAGATATGAGAGCAGTTATTAGGTCAAACCAACAGTGACCTTGTGACGATATAACATAACCGACTTGAGTCACGGCGTGTTACCTTTGCACGCCCTGCGGTGAGAGATGGACTTGGTCATGTCTCTGTAGTAGCCCTCCTTGCAGTAGTGGCAGTGGCGTCCGGCCGTGTTGTGACGACAGTTGAGGCAGACGCCGCCGCTCCTCCGGCCTGATAGCTTGTACAGCTCCATGTTGAAACGACAGCGGCGGGCGTGCAGGTTACAGTGGCATGCTGGGAAAAAAAAGAAAAAAAGGGAGAAGTTTAAACTTTGACTTGATATTTTGCAGATCAAGGAGTGATGATGCCTTCATGTGAAAAATAATCAAACAATAAGAAACAAAAGAGAAGAAAAACATGATTAAAAGAGGAATTTAATCGGTTAAAGAATCTTAAAAATTGAAATGTTGGTCTCCCAGTATGCGAGTTCACAGATCCTGAGAAAACCCGATAACTTGACAGACATCACAGAGTGCGGTGTGAGTTTGTCACATTGAGACGACTCGTTACAGAAACAGATGGTGCAGCTCGACGCGGCGCGGCCTGCTTTGGTCTGGTCTGAGGATTCATACTCTCCCTCTCCCTCTCCCTCTCTTTCTTGGCCACCTGCTTGTGAATTTAACCTTTGACCCCCTGGTGATGTCAGGCAGGAAAACTTTCTTCCGCTCTCCCACACATCTGAGAGACTTCTGATTTATTGTTATTACTATTTTCACTCGTTTATTCCGACCCCGGGTTCCACATTTCTCACGCACTCGTGCTCTGCCAAAATATCAGACATTTATCAGCGTTTTGTTTTTTTTTGTCTGAAACTCTCTGCTTCCTTTGTGCCTGAACCTGTTTCTTTCTGGATCTAGCGTGCTAATGAAATGCCACCATATGTAGCTTCTGAGCTCATTTTAACCAGATCAAAACAAGATCAGCTTTCATAAAAATGAAACACATCTTAAAATGACACTTAACACAAACAAACAAAATGCTAACAAAATGGCGCCGTATAGCTTACATTAGCATGTAAGGCCCACAGTGCACATCCGTCCTGTCTCTATGACAACAGTTAATTGACAACAGGCGCTGTATGACGGACATGTCTCTATTGCTTCCTGTAGCCGGAGCTCCACATACACACACAGTGAGTCAGACATGCAGACACACACAGCGCTGTGCTCCCCCGCTCGCTCTGCTGGAATCGCCTCACCTCTGTAACGCCTCTGTTACTACTATAGCGGAACGTCAAAGGGGCGTGAATATGGCAGCTTGAAATGGCAGTCTGAATATGGCTTTGTCAGCGTCCCTGAGTGGGCGGGGCTGTCTCTCCCCCCCCCCATGTGGTGGCAGGGCGCCCCACGCTTGGAGAGGGAGGGGTTCATGTGAAAGACGAAGGAAGGTCCTGTCAGTGTGAACACAGAGCTCAGAACAACAAACCCAGAGGGATCTGACTTCAGTCTTTACTCCACAATTAACCAGATTCTTTTCTATATTTCAATACAGGAAGTCACATCATACACCTTCAAATGGTTCATCCTGTATCTTCAAAGTTTTTTCTCTGACTGAATTAGACAGCACATGAGCCGGCTTCACCGCTCCTCACATTCCAGTAATCTCGCCATCAATCCGCCCGCCTCCGACTTATTGCAGAGATAAGACCCTCACATATGTTTCACCTTCATCAGGAGTCTGAATCACGTACCAAACACGCTCAACACCTGCCGTGAGGGACCGAGCTGGCAGGTGGTGCGGATTCAGAAACACACACACACACACACACACACACACACACACACACACACACACACACACACACACACACACACACACACACACACACACACACACACACACACACACACACACACACACACACACACACACACACACGCTGAGGTGTTTGGCAGCTGTCACAGGCTTATCTACCACACTTCCCTCCCCAGAGACAATCAGACGCACACACTATACACGGCTTAACACACACACACACACACACACACACACACACACACACACACACACACACACACACAGCTCTCTTATCCCAGATGTTATCTCCACTTAAGAGCACTGTGACGGAAAATGCGACCAACATTTCTTTCATGAATAGAAAATGGAACGCTCCCCGATGCTGGTCCTTTAGTTTCATCTTCATAAATATTCAGTCGGTGTGTTTATTCTGACACATCAGCCGTCACTTTAAAATCACACAATTACTTCAGAACACACAGCCTGAGAGAGCGTTAAAGATGCTCTTATCATACGTGCAGGGTCAGAATTAACTTTTTGACTCACCAGCCGCAGGTAGATGAAAAAATTCACCGGCCAAACGTATTTTTTTACAGGCCAAAATAACAAATTGTGTTTTTGTGTCCTACACACATCTGTTACAGTACATTTAATTGAGAAGGCATTATGTTCTGTTTAATCAATAACAAATTTAAGTCACAGATTTGATCACGTCATCAGATCAGGAAATTGAGAAATTGTAAAAAAATATATATGCTGGCCTTTATTTTTTTCTTAATGTATTATTTGTAGGCAGTAGTTCACCCCCCGTACAGTGTGTGTCCATCCAGACATGAGCTAATCACACCTATTTGGTTTTTTGAACCAGGCTGTAAACATGTTCATCTCTGCTGTAAAAACAGGCTTTTTAGAATGGGTGTGTATGTGACTTCCTGTGCTTCTGCAGCCAGCCTCTAGTGGACACTCCAGGAACTGCAGGATTTTACACTATAGCATTGGCTTCATTTTTCAACATCAGAGGTTGCCGCTTAGACAAAGCAAGACTCCGATAAACGGCGCTGACGTTTGAATATTTGCCTTCAACGCTCTGCTTTGAAATTCCTCATACGACGTGATTTCATAAACTGTGATTCCTTTGTGTCGTTTCTGACTCTGCTTCCATTGGCCTTTGAGGGCCCACTTAGAGCGCCACTATTCCAGTCTATTTCTGTTGGAGAGCTTTCTATCAGGCGCAGTGAAGGAAGCACTCGGGGTGGGTGTGCATACAGGAAGAAAAAATCCCACATCCCACATGTTGATGGAGGCGATTTCTCGCTCCGTCTACAGAGGAGAGAACACTTCAGAGACAATCAAACATCCACATGTGTTGATCACTCATGACATTCGGTTCTGGATGATTGGAAGAATTCAGAAATGTACACATCCTATCAACATGTCAGTCTCTAACCACACAGTATGTCTCTGTGTGTGTGTGTGTGTTTAAAAGAATGCACCGAGGCACAGAAAGATGGAATTCCAGCACGTTTGTTGTTTATTCAGGATCCATTACTCTCTCAGTGAGCGTAATCCTGTTCAGTCTCTCGGATCAAACAGAGTAACAACCTGTGATCTCAGGAAAAGACAACAACCAGCCTGCTAACAGATCACACCGCCATGCCTTCATGACAACAGTTGTTTTAGTGCAGAGAGAGATCAGTCACACACACACACACACACACACACACACACACAAAGTTTGATCTGTCTCCAGGAGTTAGTCTGTGTCAGGTGTCATATTTATTGATATGGAGGAGAGAGCGGGTGGATGACATGCAGCAGACGGCAAAGGCCGGACTCGAACCCTTGGCGGCCGCAATGAGGACCACAGCCTCCGTACATGGGGTGCGCATCATAACCGCTGGGCTATCTGCGCCCCAACACACACTGTTGAAGTTCCATCAAACACACTCGATTGTAAAAGCTCTCAAAGTGTATAGAGGTTACACAACGCTTGTATAACACCTGAGCTGTATGTGGGGGATGTCGAGGAGAGTCACTGAGTTCTTCAGGGATGAGCGTCAACGATAGTGTTGATATTTGTACGACAGAGTAACAGGGCCACATTAAAGCTAAAGCCCAGAGGTTAGGGAATCAGCCATGATTTTAATATCGGTACTAGACTATGGTGATGCCACTTACATGCACGCATCCTCACAAAGCCGCGCTGGATACTGTCTACCATGGGGCACTGAGGTTTATCACCCTCACTCACCATTGCTCCTTGTATTCTCGGGTTGGTTGGACTGCCTTATCTGCATGTAGACTAAACCACTGGCATATTTTTTATTTATAAGGGTATTCTCGGTCTGCTTCCATCCTAACTACAGAGCTACATACTAAAAAGTACTGGAAGTTACCATCTAAACATTCTAACCATCACTAAAGACCGTACTGAATCAGGAAAAAGGGCGTTCAAGTATGCTGCTCCTTCTTCTTGGAATCGGTTGCGAGATACTTTGAATCTTCGGGAGCTGGTTTCCTTGAATGTTTTTAAAGGTCGTCTTAAAGATCTGGAGGCAGAAACATCTGACTGTAGATGTTTAACTAACTCGTTTTGCCTTTTTTGATCGCTTTGTTGCTGATGACTTCTGACAGATTCTGATAATTGGTTCTTTTTGTGATTCCTGTGTTTATGTTCATTGTTGTTAAGTGTTTTATGTCTGAAACCCTGTAACTGTGCTGCTGCCTGTCTTGGCCGGGACATGAGACTTTTTCCTGGTTAAATAAAATAAGATTAAAACTTCTTGCAATGTAGCTTACCCAGACTTCAAAATCACTCTTAACACTCCAAAAGAATCACTCAGTGTGTGCCCCGTCTCAGTGAAACCCTCAGGTGTAAGGGGGGGACATGCAGTCACGGCTTGTTTAAAACTTTAGACGTTGAAGGTAAAATGAAATAAAACCTAAATAAAGGGTCTCATTTAAATTATTTTGCCTCAATCATTGTATAAGGGGGGGTAATGCCCTTTGAGGAATTCCATCATCCAGAACCACATCGTCCATAAATTCCTGATAAAGGATAATCTTCAGGCTGTACATCATTAATGTAGTCTTATCCATCATGCTTCAAGAACTCATGGAGACTCTTTTTATTGAAGCCGATATTCAAACAAACGTTTCTGAAACAGCAGTCGAGAATTCTCTCTGATGAAGCTCGTTTGTAATTAAATCTACAAACACGTCACCTTCAGCTGCTTCAAGGTCGAACCCGTCAGACACACGTTTTCACACACTAAATATTTAAATCCGACATTACTGCAGCAGCTGGCAGGACAACAAAAGATTTCTTTCCAAATTAGAGATCGTTTTAAAAGTTTCTGGAAAGCTTTTTATGTTTTAATAAGAAAAAAGCACCCGTCACCTGGACGTCTCACAAACAAACAGAGCATCAAACACATGTGAGCTAATATGAGACGCATTCAAAGACGGCCTGCTCTGTAAGGAGAGACGGAGCGTTT